AAGATAGACTTACAGCTGACCATACCCGACAAAGCGAGCACAAACACCAAAACATTTAAAGCAGAATACAAAAAAAACTTGTAGAAAAATACCCCGGTGCGGAGCTTATCTTCACAGATGGCTAAAAAAAAGACAATGATGTGGGGGCCGCAGCCCTATCTTCAAACAGCACACACCAAAGGAGATTCCATCCTGAAGTCTCCATTCTCTCTGCAGAGGCCACTGCCATTGACATGGCACTGGACTCTGTAGAAAATTCTCTTAATCTTTCCTTATCCTTTCTGACTCTCTGTCTTGCATCGCCTCACTCACAAACTACACACTCCTACACCCAAAAATAGCCAGTCTACAACAGAAAATACACACCTTGCCTGAAACAGGGAAAAGTATCGTGTTTGCAGGGATACCTAGCATGTGGGCATCCGAGGAAACTAGCAGGTGGATGACCTGGCAAAGAAATCCTTATCCCTTCTGTTGGGATAAACGGCGAACACTCTTCCACAGACTGACCTTAAAAATAAAGTCAAAGTAAAAGAGTACACCTCCAGTCTGTGGGAGAGCCATTGGAAAAAACCCAAACAAATAACAAACTCCACAATATTAATAAACCGAAACTTGGACCGCGAAATCCTTCGGGCCTCTCCAGAAGAGACGAAGTCATTTGTACTCGATTACGCATCGGGCACACGGCCCTAATACGCAAATACCTCCTTCAGGGAGATGAGAAGCCGTTCTGTGTCGGATGCGAAACAGATTTTACCATTAGACACATTTTAACCGAATGTATAGACTTCGGAGAGACCCTAAGGAAATATTTTTAATGCAAAACATTGAAAGATGTTTTTTTATCGTTGTTGCTCCCAGCAGAATTTTAGATTTTATGAAGGCCATTGGCCTTTATGGAAAGTTATAAAATAGATTGTTTGAAATTTTTAAGTGTTATTTAGAAAGTTGTTTTAAATCTAATATTTAAATCTAAAACCTATTTACACTCGATTTTGTTTTGCGTTCTAACAATTTTTAATAGAAATATTGACCAATATCAGGCCGAGGAATGAACTGTTGAGAAAAAACCAACTTGTTTCGCGCGCTCGTATGACCTTATGCAGTTGCGAGCGCTGTAAAACCCCATACTAAACTACTAAACAGAATCATGGTTCATGATACAGATGTCATAGATTCTAGATGATTTCCAGGAATAGACAAAGTTCGTTGCGGGAGAAAAATGAACGAAGCCACGTCAGAGAGAACAGTTCACCCTGCAAGCGACTTCGTTGAATCCGAGCGTGCTTATTTATGTGTTCGTTGAAGCCAAGTTATGTTTATTAAATTTAATTAAGAAGAATACGAGGAATCCGTCTCATTTCGCTGAATCCGAGTAGTCGTTTAATCCCAATTCCACTTTAGCAAAATGCGGTTCCACATATCTATTTGCAACTCGTTGTTCTGTGTGTGTGTGTTTCGGGGGGGTGATATGACCGACGTGTCTACATCCCTTCGAACGTTTTAAGATGAGAACCTTTTAGTTTGTGTCTCCAACAAACCAGAAACCTACCAACCGATTATCACGTGTCTCTCAGGAAGTCGATCGTAGAAATGGAACTAATGAACAATCAGTGAAACTAACATTTTGGTTGTGTCTAACAAAATAAAGCGACACCTCCCCACAAAAGACGCATCAGTTGGAATGCCGCATGTAGCATTTTAATCGGGCCAAGCAAGATCAGTCATTTTTTCGACATGATAGATTGCTCAGCCAGAGAAGAAAAAATCGGGGATTCTGTTTTCATTCGGTTTACCAGTGTCTTCAGATTAATTAACAGTATTTGGTTTAAATTTGCTCTTTCGTGGTTTGGGCATGAACTTTGTTGTTGACCCTCTTTCTGTTCAGGATTTTAAAATAATTTTCTTCTCAACTTGTTCAATCTAGTCATGCACATTCTCCTTCTGAACATTTTCTGTCTTGCCGTGGACTTTCTTCTTCGGAACTTTCCATTTAGTTGTAGATTCTCTTTAACTTTTTCTGTGATGTTTTATGTTTGTGTTGGGTGAAAGCTTTTGTTGGGAATTGTATTGAATGGAATCTTGCGTGGAGTCCTTGTTTACTGTTTCGCTAAAATTAAGTTATGAAGTTAAATTTGCTCTGTGGTGAGCTCATATCAATGATTTCCTTTGTATGTGTGTATGGAAACAACGAAATAAAACACAAGCATTCAGAATAAAGTAGATATATAGCATTAAAAAATTATTGTCTGAACCTCATATTTTCTGTTTTCTTCTTCATCTTCTGCGACCCCCAGTAAGGGTACCAAGAACTTAAACCTGCAAAAGAAATGCGAATAACTAAAGCAGGAACAAAACACACTAAACTCAACAGGGGTGTGTAATGTGTAAATGGAATTTTAATGCGCACAAGGGGGATATCCCGAAAAATGCTGTTTTGAGAAAATCGAAGGTAAAGTTTTTGGACACTTGTTCAGTTTGTTTAAAAGACAAGGAGAGTTTCTCTATAACCAAACAAATACACACCAATGAAACCAAACTTTTCCTACAGGTAGGGCAATGCCCACTTTTGTACACCAATATTTCTGAAAACCCCCAAAACCTGGGTTAGCCCGCTTGTCCTTAAAAGCGACCAATTTACACAGCCACCAGGGTGTCAATAATGTTTTAGTGTGATTTAGCGTCACTAAGTCATTTCAGCGACCTTGACTTTGGGATATAAAGTCAGCGCCCTGTGTGATATCCGTTGGCTGCAATAACTGCTCTGCATCTTAGACCTATAGAGTTCACGAGTGCGTTTATTTGTACCCACACCTGACCGATGGCTGCAGCCAAGAGCTGTTCGTGGTCGTGGTTGAGCTACCTGGATTGCGACTCAAACGTGTTCAAAGAGGTTTAATTCAGGTGAACGAGCCAGATTGGCCAAAAGATTGAAGTTCCGTCCTAGGAACTGCTGTGTTACACTTGCATAATGTGGTCTCACACTGTTTTGCTGGTAAAAGTACATGTAGTTTGGATGCCCTGGGAAAAGGGCACCACCGCATGAGGTTGAAGAACTTCGGCGATGTAGCACTGAGCTGTAGATTCTAACCCCATTTCCTTGTCCATGGCCCGCGTTCTGGAAGAACACTGGTCCAGTTCTTTGATTTAGGGCCATGACTCTCCAAATCATGACGATCAACCTTCCACAAGGGTCAGTCTCCACAACGTTGGCATCAGCGTAGCGAGATCAGGTTAGTGTGTCACACGCAGATACGCCTATTTATCGGATCAACGCAGATTCTGCTCACGTGGGTGTATACAGTACCGATCTCTATTGTCTATTCTTCTAGTTTACGGGAGCCTACTGTTCCCACACAAACCGATCACAGCGGTGCCGAGGGGGTCAGAACTGGCATATGTAACGACCGTCTGCGCCGGAGACCTGTGGAGACCTCCGCCGTACGATTCTGGTACGCAAGGCCCGCCCTGTTCCTGTTCGTCCGATGGTGTTCCAGGCGGTCTCGGCGGTTGTCAGAATCGGATCCTTGGTATTGGCACACCATGAGGTGATCCTCGGCTGCAGTTGTCCCTCTTGTGTTTTCTGGCAAGGGGGCAGATCATAATTTGTCACGTTAATTGGTGTCTTGAAACCGGTTCTGTAAACTGTAGATGGCGGAGACGTGCACACCTGTAACAGTTGGCATAATATGTTAAGCAGACTCTCCAGCCTGTAGTCGTCCAATAACCCTGTGACGGTTTTCTGGTAAAAGTCTCGGCATCTTGATACTTGTATGTGCATTGTCATTCGATTTCTACATGATTGTGTGACTGTTCAAACCTGTTCAGTTAAACTTGTGTAAGACGTTGGCAAAAATAGCAGCACAAACACATCTTCATAAGTGTAAACTTTCATAAAATGACAAATTACAGTACCAACATGAGACTAATATTATTATTTCATATTTCTATTTAATTTGGCGCGCTAAATGCAAAATGTGTCCGATTTTAATGATATAAACGGTGGTATCACAGTATACTGAAAGCAGAAGTACAAGCTGCCATTAGGAAAATGAAACAAGGATAAACCACAGGGCCAGATAATATTCCAGTTGAAGTGATTGGCGCGCTTGAAGAACTAGGCACTGAAATAACCACAAAGTTTCCTAAATGCTATTTATGACAGCGGTGAGATCCCAGAAGATATGATGAAGTCAGTTTTTATAGCTTTACCCAAAACACCAGGTGCCACTGAGTGTGATATAATGCATAGAACACTATTAGCGTTATGAGTCATTTTACAAAAATATTGCTGCGAGTAATAATGGGAAGATTGAGAAAAAGTGTAAGACCAGAGATATCTAAAACGCAATTCGGCTTTGTTCCTGACAAGGGCACCAGAAATGCTATATTCACCTTAACAATGTTAATGGGGGGATGTATTGAAGCAGAGAAAGATCTGTATTTATGCTTCATAGATTATTCAACGTTTGATAAAGTTAGACATGATGAGCTATTTAAAATACTAGAAAAGCTAGACATAGATGGAAAAGGCCTAAGAATTATCAGAAATTTGTACTTGGACCAAAACGCTGAGGTACGAATTAATGGAGAATACAGTGAATATAAACAGATTAGGCCAGGAGGGAGGCAAGGATGTGTTATGTCACCAGACCTATCCTTAGAAACATAGAAGAATGTCCAGGCCTCAAAGTAAATGGAGAAAATATTAATAACATCAGGGTATGCAGATGACACAGTTTTAATAGCAGGCTCCGAAAAGGACCTTCAATTGCTTCTAGATACTGTTGTAACAGAAAGTGAACGTAAAGGATTATTGTTGAATGTAAAGTTATCCCACGCATTGGGAAGCCAAGACGGTACGTATCTTTTGTCTTGGCTGGAAGCTGACTGGCAGCAGAATACACTCTCTGCTGGAAGTAAGCTGCTGTGATGTCACTTCGGAAATTCCCGAAAGCTCCTTGCTAGAAATAACTCGCTATTCCCTTTGTTTACTTTTCATTAACCAGGAGCAGGAAGTTGACTCTTGTCCATTCCTCCAAGGCCAAGGAAAAGTAGATCGATAGGCCTAGCCTAGCGGGCCCTCGCGGTAAAACTGATGGATCCTGGTTGTAGGAATGTATGTTTAGCTCGTAACGATCTTCAAGAGGAAGTGAGAATTATAGTAATAGGCCCATAATCCTTTTGATCCCATTCATTTCATTATTTTGATCAGTGATTTTTGCCGGATTTCAGCGCAGCCTGGAAAACGTATTGAGGTTTTACTCGATCATTGATCGTGCAGATGCAGAGGCCTATAGATCTATAATCCTATAGGCTAACAGGAGCAGGACTTAATGTAACTTGTAAGTGTTCCATAGTGAATAAAACTAGTATATAACTATAGATATAGATCTAAGTATTGGCCTAGTGTCTATGGGCTCTAACTCTAACCAAAAGAATACCATAATTTAGTTTGATCTGTAGTAGGCTAGATCTAGATCTAGTAGTAGTCTGCTGTGACTTAATTTCAAATTGGTGTTCCTAATATAGGAATGACGCAGGTATCAAGATCTCTCACTCTCAAGAATCGAGATAGCATAGTATCTAGATCTAGATCTATAGGCCTATGCCCTATGGATAGATCTAGATCTAGATCTATTAAATCATTAAAATTACAAATTTAGATCTGACTGAAAGTCGAGCTCTTCGAAATATATCCTGTGAGACTTTGATCAGAATGCCAATGCCCATAATAATTGCGGCTTAAAATTCCGTCACAGAGTTAACTGCAGGTTCTTAATTTTTGTTGACGTTGGTTTGGATTTTGAAGGAGGAATTCTATGTGATGTTATATTCTATTGTCCTCCCTGTATTGAACGTGTCATAATCAGTGCTGTATTATAAGGCATTAGGAGATTATTATTTAGGAAGAGGCTAGCCTTACTTAATGACGGCTAGACTGGCAGTCTAGCCGTACTTAAGTACGGCTAGACTCGCAGTCTAGCCGTACTTATTCTTAATATGATGGCTAGACTGACCATTTACAAAAAATAGGCCTACTGAATTGTAAATATACATTTTTAGTGTGCAGTACCTAAAGCATTTGTATTTGAGATGAAACCAGGTGCCTTAATGACAGTGTATGTATTTTAAAACCTCCTGTTTTCTAATGTTAATAGGGCCTAAGACTTCTTGTCTAGCCGTACTTAAGTACGGCTAGACTGTCAGGCTAGCCGTACTTAATATTGATGGCTGTATTGTAAATGAAATTTTTAGTTTGCAATGCCAAAAGTATTTGTATTTCAGACAAAACCAAAAGGTGCCTTACTGACTTGCATGTATTTGAACCTGAATAATTACTAGATCTAGGTCTAATGAGACATGTGTACTTAACAGGCTTGAGTCGATTGGGCCAAACCTAGATCTAAGTACGGCTAGACTGCCAGTCTAGCCGTACTTAAGTACGGCTAGCCACTTCGTATTATTTATGTGCCCATTTTGAAATCGAAGTGGCTAGCCGTACTTAGATCTAAGTTTGGCCCTATCGACTCAAGCCTGTTAAGTACACAGGTCTCATTAGATCTAGATCTAGTAATTATTCAGGTTCAAATACATGCAAGTCAGTAAGGCACCTTTGATTTTGTCTGAAATACAAATACTTTAGGCATTGCAAACTAAAAATTTCATTTACAATTCAGCCATCAATATTAAGTACGGCTAGCCTGACAGTCTAGCCGTCCTTAAGTACGGCTAGCCTGGCTGTCTACCCGTACTTAAGTACGGCTAGACAAGAAGTCTAGCCTAGACTGCCAGTCTAGCCGTACTTATCTTAGGCCCTATTTACATTAGAAAACAGGAGGTTTAAAATACATGCACTGTCATTAAGGCACCTGGTTTCGTCTCAATTACAAATACTTTAGGTACTGTACACTAAAAATGTATATATTTACAATTCAGTAGGCCTAGATTCTAGATCTAACATGACCTATGAAGCAAATAGCCTTTATATTATTCTTTCAGAGTGAAAAGCCATGTCAGGCCCACAATCTCCTCACTATATAATTGGTTCTGTTGAAGGCTGAAGCTTAGAATGCCACTGTTATTCTCTGTTGAAACTATAAGCCTAGGCTTTAATGGAGACAGCTCAAGTTAACTCTCATGAAAAACTGGGGCCTACATGATGCATTATCCTACTAAAGTCAGATCAGAGTGATGATCAATTGAAAACAAACCACTGTGACCTCATTTGCCTTTTCTGTTTTGTTTCTATTCCACGTATTGAGGAAGGCTTTAAACATGATGAAAGTTAAGGTGCAGATAATTTTTTCTTGAAACATGTATTTCTGTGTAAAATAAGGGTCTCGATGCAATCAAAATCAGAGGGAAATTCGAATCCACACTATCTACCTCATTCCGTAACTATAATCTAGTTCTCTGAGTGTGTGGTGTATTAATATTGTGGAATTTCTCTCCGATTTTCACCGCAAGAGCAGCTAGCATTAATTAGCTGGCTGACATGTCATAATTTAAGGCCTTGGCCTTGTTTTAGTAAGGCCTTTATATATATTTTTTTAACCGCAATTGTAAAACGAATTTAACCAGTTTATATTTTCCAATAGGATACCTTTATATTGTGGCCACACAACCGCCATGGACCGACCTGACTCTGGAAAGTACAGGGAAGAACTGATAAAGGCGATACACAAAACCTTTGTGGAGTTTGTTGATCCATCTCATTTCATGATCTTCCAACGCAGCTCTCATGATTTGTTAACTAAGGCTGACAAGGTAATATTCTATATCTATCTCTTGAAATTTTCAATGTGTGGCCTACATTGGGAATTGTTCAGGATGGCAACTCAGTTGTCGAGGAATGATAAATTGGTTGCCTTAATAACAGAGGTGGACCTGCTGGACAGTAAAAAACTCAAGGCTGTAATGGGACATAGTTGTTTGTACTGGTGATTGTCTTGGATGGGTGGCCATTAGAACAGGTTTGACTGTCATCATCATTTGGTGCCTTGCCGACTGGCATGGGCGGTCATGGAATCACCTCCACTTCACTTTGTCTTGCGTTGCAGCTATGGTATCTGTTGTTCTTGCTGCCCCTAGCCATGTTATCATCTTGTCCAGTATCTTTTCCCTCTGTCTGCGTCTTATGAACCACAACTCTGTCGCCTCAATTGTTCTTTCCAGCTGTTTATTGATTGTTCATGCGTCGCACCTGTATAATAGGATTGGCTCAATGTAACTTTTCAATACTCTTTTTCTCGTTTCCAGTGACAGATTGATATTTGTTAGTATCTGTTTCATTTTGTGGAAGGTTGCTTTTGCTTGGCAAATGCGACTTTTAATTTCGGTGTGACATCTCCCATCTGATGATATAATGGTCCCCAAATATTTAAAATGTTGTACTTGCTTTAGGGTGGTATCATTGATTTTGATATTGCATGTTGGGGTTGGAGTTTTTCTGCTTATCACCATTGTTTTGGTTTTCTTGATGTTTAGGCTTAAGCCCATGTTGTCACTCTCTTGTACGATGACATTTAATAGATTCTGTAGGTGTTCTTCATCTTCGGCTGTTAGGACTGTGTCGTCTGCATATCTTAGATTGTTTATATTATGTCCCCCTATTGAGATACCTGGCATTTTTTCTGTGTCTCATGATATTTTCACTATACAGGGAGAATAAGTCTGGAGAAAGTAATGTACATCCTTATCTGACTCCTCTTTTAATCTGTATGTATTCGCTCAATGTCGTTTTCTATTCTCATTGCAGCAGTTCGATCCCAATACATGTTCTTGATAATCCTTATAAGTCCTTCCCGTCAATATTGAGGACTTCCAGCATGTCGATGATCTTGTCGTGCCTTATTTTGTCGAATGCCTTTGTGTAGTCTATAAAACATAAATGAAGATCTTTCTGAACTTCTATGGCACGTTCTATTGTTGTTCTGATGACATATGGCATTTACAGTGCATTTGCCTGAATAAATCCACACTGTTCTTGGGCTATGGGAGAATTTTATTTCGTATTCTCTTCATAATTACTCTGAGTAGTATTTTTGTTATGTAGCTCATGAGGCTGATGGTACGATGAGTTTCACATTCGTTTGCATTAGGTTTCTTTGGTAAAGCTATGATGATAGATTTTGACAAGTCTGATGGAATATGTCCAGTGTCATACATGTTGTTAAGAAGTTTTGTCAGTTTGATGATTCCGTAGTCTTCTAAAGCTTTAATCATCTCTGTTGTAATGTTGTCCGGTCCTGCAGCTTTCCCATTCTTCATCTTTCGTAGTGCCTTGATAACTTCTTCTTTCATGATTGGTGGGCCCTCGTTGTTATTTTCCACTCTTCTTTGTTTTTCTCTTTTGTCAGTGTGATATATTCTGTCCAACATTCTAGTATCTCGTCTTTGTCTTTTCCGTGATGATATTCCCATCCTTTGATTTGAGGCATCCTGTTGATCCACGTGTTCTTGTATGGCACACCTCTTTAATTTTTCTGTGCAGATCTTTTGAGTTCGCATTGGAATGATTTTCCGTTGCTGTACATTTGCTTTTAATTTGGGCTTTTGCTGTGAATTTCAACTAATGTGCTGCAGCTTCCAAAAACCTAGGAAAAGATGAATGGGTACCTTACTAATTAAATGAGACTTCATAATTAAAAACAAGATTTAATAGAATGATGGGTATCAGGTGAAAAAAACAATTCTCTTTCAAACAAATCATTTTTTCTCAGTTTGAATCATAGTCTTCAGAGTTTGTCTCTCCAAAATTCTGTAGATACATGCCTAGATATATATATATATATATATATATGTGTGTTTTAACTTGGATTTTCTCCTTTTGCACAGCATGTTGTGTAAGCTTAACTGATTCAGCCAGTAGTGCCGCTCACAGCGGCCGACTGTCTCCTATGTTTTGACGCAGAGCCGTGCAGAGCGGCCCTTATATATTTGCTCTCTTTCTTCACATCACTTTCCTCTCTTCTTTTTTCCTTACCACTTATATTCCAACCTTTTTTTCTTGTGTCATTGAATATAAATAGTATTTTGTATTTTGAACAACACATGCCACACATAAAGGTTTTATCAAATTTGAATATTTCTTTATCAACTTTTTGTGAGACCACCCATGAGGTCACGAAGCAGTCTCAAATTATTTGTGTCCTTAGTGAAAATGATCTGTGGGCTGAATCAGTTAAATATGTTCGTTCATTAATCATCCACTTTAAAAAGATAACTCTAATCTAGTGAACTAGAATGAGGGTATTGCAGACACTGACTGTAGGAATTCAAAGGAAACAAATTGAACCTGGAAAAGAAAAGGAAGAGAAAATTAGTCTGAATTTTAACAACTGTTGTACCATATTAATTGTTTGGGTTAAAAAAAATAATTTTGGAATTTTGTGGAGTTATTTTCTATCAATGTGTTTTGAGAATTTTAAAACTATGCTGATAAGGGGTGCAATTGATAGACCAAATTCCTTTACTAACTTACCAAAAACTGGCGGCTGTGGTGTAACGGTTATGGGCCTTGCCATCGCACGAAGACATGAGAGGGTTTTTAAAAATGCTGGATCGATAAATTGATGGAAATGGCTTCTTGACTGAGGAAGAAATCAATCAAAACCAAAACTTATTGTCATTATCAAACAAAACCAAAACTTATTGTCATTATCAAACAAAACCAAAACTTATTGTCATTATCAAACAAAGGCAAAACTTATTTATCTTTGCCTTTTTTTGGAAAGACAACAACCTAAAGACTTTTTAAAACAATGAAATTAACAGTCATTATTTCTTCAAATTTCATGTTTGGCATCATAACAGCACTTGCATTACTTATGTATAAAAGCGAGTGTATGCTTTTCAGTTTTTGCTGGTCACCGTTTTACTTTTGTTATTCAGGCTTTTGGAAAAATGATACCGTGGTAAAACTGAATCTGTCACTAGTGAAACATAGCAAGCAATAAGACGCCACATTCTTTGATGTCAACAAATGCCCAAAAATCTGTAGTCAAGACATGAGCTAGAATAAATAAATTTATACATGTATCTTTTCAGCATGGAATAGCTGTCTAGAAATGTCGTTGATACCATCTTTAATATTACAGACATTATATTTGGGTACATTGTCTGGTGTCAAATATCATGTGGCAACTCTCAATTATTTGTCTGTTGTGGTTCTTTAATTCATCCAACTAGGCCAAGCATTAATTGAAATCCCTAAAACCCACAAACTGACAATTATCTTGTGCCCCAGCTTGAGCGACAGTTAAATAATCTGTTAATTCCTTGCCTGACTGAACAATATTTTACATTTCTTGATCATTACTCACACCCTACTCCGCAAACATGTTTTCAAATTTGTTAACTTTTTTTGGTGGAAAAAATATTGTTTTTTGACTCTTTGACTAATCCAATAATTTTGATCTCAGCTCATAATTGTTGAGATTGAAGGTATAATTTAGTTTCTCAATGTTTATGAGAAATTCAGTTTTTGTTTCTTTTTGTTTTGATTTGATCATCTTATGTAGTCCATCAAGTGAAATGATTCGCTTTGTAAGATCTTATTTTGCATTCATTTTATGAAGGTCTGTATTATCAGTTTTCCTACTCTTTTGAAAAGTATTATGATTGCCTCACAGACGATTAATATAGAGATAGGGTTAGAAAGAGACATTTAGTTTCTTAATTGTTTCCCGGGTTTATTACATAATCCTTCTTCCTGCACTTTTAGAGATAATAAATATTTTTGTACATGATTTTTTATGATCCTTCATTTACAAAGATGTTACAAGATTGTTTGACTCTGTAAACATGGCACATATTCACCACAGTTTCCTTCTTTTGTAAATGCTCTGCTCTGCTTCCTTTTAATCTATTTCTTAATGAAAAAGGAATATTTAGTTTTAAAAAAGGTTCTATAATAATACATTTGCCGTCTCCATGAATTTTGATAGTGTTAATAGGAGATGAAAATGTTTCTTTCAATTTTTGAAGTTAATTCCTTTTGTTTTGATTTTACATCATTTTGAATAGGAGGAAGTGGAAAAGCTTTTACAGAGCAAAGGTGAGACACATGCTGCTGACCTATTGCTGATTAAGCTGAGCAACCATCCTGGCTGGTTTCAGTGTGTTCTGGATGTGCTCAGGAGTGACGACATGAAGCGCAAACATGCTGCTGATGAAATGGAGAGTCAGAAACGTAAGGCTTTTTGATGGGCATAGTTTGACACAAAATGCAGAGGGTCACAACTGCCGCTTAGTAGTTAGTGCCATGATTGACTATGGGGTGAATGGTCCTAGTTGGAATCTTCATAATTTTTAAACAGTTTTTTGCAAATAATCTTTCAGCTACAATGTTTACAAGGAAGTTTAACCCACGTATATACCATATCGAATTGTATCATGTAAATGTAAAAGTATGTAGCATTTAACCATTCTATGAAAAACAAGTTTTTGTAGATTTAAAGGGTGCAATTTGTGACATTTATTCTTTCCCATACTATTAAAACTCAAGCCTTTTCTTTTTTTTTTGGCTGGCTCATACAATGACAGACAATGTGCTTCAACTTCTATGACTTTTACCAGCATGATAAGTTTTCCAACTTTTTGCTTTTCATGTTGATTGTTTTTTAAATTGTGCGAATTCAAGCATTCAACACTAATTTTTGTTTCAAATTATTGTGCCTTACCTCATAAACAAAGGGGAACAAATCTCATTTTATCATTTTGTGCATTGTAACCGTGGCATTGATAACTCTTGAAGCTTCATACAGTATATCATGAATAAGTCGAACAGAGAAGACTCGAAATCATGTATCCGTGGAACTGTGCTTGCGGTCCCGTTTCTTTTTCTTCTTTATCTTTGAAAGATATCCCTCAATCTAAGGATCCCTCGAACCACCTATAGGCTGGTCCGGACAAATTGGAGCTATTTGTGTTGTACTGTATAATGCTTTTTCAATGAGAAAATTAGTTTTAAATGATAAATTAAAACTAAACAAAAAGATTAAAGAAAAAATATCCCTTTTGTATTTGAATTAAAAACAAAATTAGTTTAAGTTTTTTTTCTGTAAGAATTGTCTGAAAATTCACAGAAAAGAAAACGGCAGATAAGTTTTTTTCCATTACTCAAGCTATTCTATTCTTCAAACATAACCCCCCCCCCCCCCCCCTCCCGATGCTGGAATTTCCATAGTCACTAAAATGCTGATTTCTGTGACATTTGAGTGATAAATCATCCTCCTGAAACTGCCTCAGAAACATTGTAAAATTAATTATAGTAGATTGTAGATCTTATAGTAGGGAATATGAATATATGTATCTCTTCTGTTTTCCCTTCCTCTTTTTCAGGGCAGCTGGATCTTAGATTGTCAAAAAATCAACAAGTGCAGGAGCATATTTCTATGGTTTGTTTAAGTGTTTGCCTCACTGTTTTAAATTTCTGTAATGAAGAACATTTTTCCAAAAGCTGAGATATCTGAATTGTACTTACTATTCAAACTCTTTAGTTTTCTGTTTGTTGTCTTCTTCCATTTCATAGTGGTCTTGTATTGCTGTAATGTGAAGTATTGCCCTTTGTTTGATTCAACTATGACTCCCTTGTCAAACCTGTCTTGAAATGTAATTATTTAATTATTGATAGGTTGTATCAAGTTCTGCAACTTTTTATGCTAGCCCATAAAAAATGATGTCCTGAAATAGTAATGGTTTATCATGCTGATTATTGTGACAAAAAAACCAACTTAAATTAATAATACTGTATTGTTCAACCTTGATAAAGTCTTTTTTGTAAGCAATACTGAGAAGCGAAGAAAGTTTTTACTTTTTAGTCTACTAATACTATGCAGTTTAAAATTATTGTGCACTTTTTCTGTATATCAGTGAGCACGAAAACGTAGCCTATGCATTTTTATTAACCTGTTCATATGCCTATTGACCCCCCCCCCCCCAAAAACCCCCCCCAAAAAAACCCTTCCAGCGGGAGACATAATATAATCTTTGTGGGTAAAGGGGCTTTTTTTTGGTCACCTGGTACATGAATTTTGTTCTATTTTTTCCGCCTCTTTTTTTGAATATTAATTGGAGGGAGAAAGTCATTATTGACACTGAGATATATATATATATGAAACTCCCTTGAGAATAGGCAATCTTTAAAGAGATGTCACTCTCATTCAAAAGTTTATAAAATTTATTAGTCAACGATGTTCTTGTAAAGTAGATTGGACACTCTGTACATCATTACATAATACTTTCTCATTCAACAACATCTTCTTTGGTTTTACCTTTATGTTTATTGATTTTGACAGCATTCTAATTCAGGGTTTCTCTTCTTTAGAGATTCATTAAATAGTTGACTACTGCAGTTTCCTTCAATCTCTCCTCAGGTGTACGCAAAGCAGGAAGTCAAAAGTGACTTTGAACTTGGGGCTTGTAAGTGACATTCATATTTTGAACTGACTTGCTGTTGTGGAACTGTTTTCACAAACAGTTTAAATTGCTTTGCCCTTCTTTTCTTTTGCCTTGTCACAATTCTAAATTTTAGAATCTTGTTTTACTTTACTTCTTCGTTCCGAAATTTTTGTTGTCATTTGTGATGTGTGTGGGAGAGAATTGGGAGTGTGTTGACAAACTTATGAGCTAGAAGTGAAAACATGAGATTGGGCTGAGCTCAATATATTTATCTTGAGAGGTTCTCCAATATCTTATTGTCTATTTTTCTAAAGTCATTTACTGAAATGTGGTCTATAAATATTTTATTTTGATTTATTTTTGACAGACCCTTTATTTAATTCTTCTTTTTAAGCAAAAAAATATGTAATTTATTGCAAATCAGTCACAGTTGGTTCTTTTCATTAAGATTACATACTGATGACCAAGACTAAAAATTAACTGTGACGTTTTTTTTTGTTGCATATTTATGTTTTTGCTTTATTATCCATTCTCAATTCATATGGTTCTAAAAGAGCAGGAGTTAATTATTTTTGCTGCACATTGGACACCCCCATTACAGTTTCACTGTCGAAAAGTTTTACATTCCATTGCTTTTACTCTTAATTTGACTCCTTTCTTTTTATAAAACTTTGTACAATGACTATTTCTTCTATTTGGGAACAACTCTAAAACTCAGGCCTTAGGCTAGTACGTGTTTAGACTGAGCATTTCTGAGACAAACAGTACCGCAATCAAATACATGTTGAAACATTAAACCCATATTTCTCAGTTCATGTTTTATTTTAAAGTTTAAATTACTTTTCACCGTTACTTCAATTTTAGAATAAATATCTTCAAATATTCAACTGCAAAATACTCGGAAAAGTCTGTGCAAGGAGATCGCAGCCGGACGTGAAAATCAGGGTTGGGTTGATTTAAATCAGGTTGGTTTAAATCAGTTGATTTTTTTATATTTAAATCAACTTGATTTTTAAAATAAAAATCAGTGATTTAAATCACTTTAAAAAAAATTATTTTTATTCAGTTTTTACTTATTTCAACCTTCAGAATTCCTTTCCTTGGTTTCATAAAACAGATATAAGGTTTAGTAGATTAATATAATCATGCTTAAAAGTCTGCTTTCCACCCTTTCACTGTAAAATAACACAGTATTCAATTTACTTTTTTTTTTCCATAATTGAAAGTAGAGCTGGGTTGTTTTAAATCAGTTCATTTTTTAAATTTTATTCAACTTGATTTTAAAAATAAAAATCAGTGATTTAAATCCCTTTAAAAAAATGTATTCAGTTTTTACATATATTTTTAAACATTCAGAATTCCTTTCCTTGGTTTTATTAAACATAAGGTTTAGTAGACTAATATAATCATGCTTAAAAGTCTGCTTTCCCCCCTGTCACTGTAAAATTTATTGTAATACAGTTCTCAATTTTCTTTTTTTTTCATAATTGAAAACCAGGGTTGGGTTGATTTAAATCAGTTGATTAAAACATTTTTTAATCAACTTGATTTTAAAAATAAAACTCAGTGATTTAAATCACTTTAAAAAAATGTATTCTATTTTTACATCTTTAAACATTCAGAATTCCTTTCCCTGGTTTTATAAAACAGATATAAGGTTTAGTAGACTAAAATAATCATGCTTAAAAGTCTGCTTTCCCCCCTGTCACTGTAAGTAGTAAAATAATACAGTATTCAATTTACTTTTTTTTTCATAATTGAAATTAGCATTTTCTTTTTCTTTTTAGACAAACACAAGCGCGCGCACACACACACACACTGTAATAAATGTAAGTTTATCTATGCATAATTACCCCCCCCCCTTTCCTCTTAGATTGACATTTTCTTAATTGTAAATTGTCTGTAGCCATAATTCACTTATATAGCAGTTGCTTAAATTAATAATTAGTTAAAATAAAGACAAATCATTTTGCACTAAAAGAACATACTTTTAGCCACCAAAAATCCCAAACTGTGTCGACATTAAAAAAAAAAATTAAAAAAAATCCTATTTAAATTTTAAAAATCTTGATTTAAATAAAAAAATCGATTTTTAAAATTTTTATTTAAAAAATCAAAAAAAATCACCAACCCTGCCCGCTGAAAATGTCCAGACAAAGATACATTCCCAAATGTTGCAGATTTTGGAACATTTATTGTCAAACTGTGGGTGTTTGGTGGGTGCTCTGGTGTGGTTTGTTACTTTTTCCCTATCAAACATCTATCCTGATCTCTCCTTCTTTTTAGTGTTTGTTACTCTCTTGTGACACCTCTAATCTTCGGCACTTATATGACCCTATTGTGTTGCACATATTGGAAAGCCCTTGCTAAAACTAGAATATTGTCAAACAGCCGGGAAACAGATCGGTAACCAGTGGTCCTTGAAGCAGTCTGTTTTGTCTACTCATCTCTTGAAAGGACAGTCTCCATATTTCTTTCCTTGAGTTTCTTGGGATCATAATCATTTTGTCTGGTTGGCTAGATTTGCTTTCACTTTTTGCTTTCTGCTAGAGGATTAACTTTGTCTTTTCTTTTTCTTTCTTTCAAGCTAAACGGCAGGACCAGAGTGATGATTCTTGTTCTGAAATTTCAGATAGAAACCTTACAGAAGTAAAGGTAAGTGACAGAAGTAAATTTTTAAGTTCTGAAGACTTAATTTAATTAAGTATTTTTTGTTGGCTCAATGACAAAGTGAAGGCGAGAGATTTGCTTCTTAATTATTTTTTTTAAATTGAAAGAAGTTATTGCTCAGCAGGAAAGACACAGCTTTATGTGCTAGTAGCCTTTGCTCTCTGGAGAACTTTATAGGACTCCTCCCAACTCTAGTAGATATATTGATATTTGATTTGGTAGTCTTACTTCGGTCATGTCGTCATGCTTCTTCCCATAACCAATGCTATCATGTTGAAAAGAGTGTAAAATACAGACTGAAAACTCGTGAGGTGCAGACTATGATCAGATTGTGTATCTCTTCATATTGCAGGGCAGATATTCTGAAGGTTTGCTGGATACGAGTAATGTATCATCTGCACAAGGCAACCATCCGAGTGCAATCAAAGGATCCTATGGACTGGACACCACTGAGGAAACTGAGTTAGGAGCATGTGTGAGGAATTTGAGTATGGGCAGAAAGACTGCCCTCAGGTCACAAAGTCAGCAGTCAAGGTAGTAACTACAAATTATACTTACTTCAACTGTTTTTCTTTTTTTTAAATCTCCCATCCCTGTGTCCCATTTTTTACGGGGTTAGGTCACAATTAAGTGCCAGGTATCGCTCAATGGAAACTTCTCTGAATTTGAGAGACACATCTGTGTGCATATTTTAAAGATCTTGATTGGAACGTTGACCTGCTCTCTGAAGAAAATATGGATTAATTATAAAAACATAAAAGTGCTTCTCTGAAAATATGCTCCTGTCTTTGTAAGGACTAGCTATTTTCCATAAATGTCTTTACGCCTTTGTGAATAATATTGTAAATTAGACTCCACTGTATTGGAAATGTGATTTACCTGTGGCCTCCTTATTTTCAGAAAAGATGGAACATTGGTTTGGTTATGAAGATGAAACCTTTCTATAATGAAGAAAGAATAAAATTTAGTATTTTGCTCTTTGTAAAAAGAAATTATTTTAGGATGAAACGCAAATTTATCATTTCATGTTTTTGAATGTTCCTGCCCTAACATTTTTGTTCGCAGGAAACAAAATAGTTCAAAACGTGTGGTGATTCAAACAGAGGAAGTCAAGGCTAGGGTAAGTGTTCATTTAACAATCCCGTAAGACATTAAATAATAGCTGAGACTGAAGAATGCTTGAAATTTTGAAGAGTGTAAAGTTAGGAAGAAAACAGAAATTTGAAAGGTAGCATAGTAACTAAGCTTCAATTATTGTGTAAAGTAAGTTTACCTCGTCTGTCAACACTGTTTATTTTTATTTAGATTGAAAGGGAAGCAACAGGTTTTCAAAACACTATGTTTGGAGGATCAAAACATCTATTTTCAATTTTCGTATACTTGAGTATCCTGGAGATTGATCTCACTTGATGTTTCTCTTTGAAAAGAATTTAAAAAAAACCAAACTGTTTGAGGCATTTTGCAGAGGGTATCTCCCTCAAAAGTCAACACCTTTTCTTCAAATTAGCCTGGCAACAACAGCATAATTCTTCTGCGTGACCCTAACATGTTTAGTATCATTGTGCCCCGAAGTTTAATAATAATAATAATATATTACATGGCATTTATATATATATATATATATAGTGTTCAACCTTGATTAAAGAACATAGGCTCTACTCTGAATGCTTTACAAATATACAATAGAAACACAAACAGTAGGCTTCATTGTGTTCTGACTAAAAATCTGTCTCCAGATATTTCATTAATCTAAAAAGAGAAATGACTTTAGCTAACGTTTGAATGAATAAAAAGATTTGATTAGTTCTTGGAGCCATAATGTGTTTTTGTTCTGACTCACTTTCTCATTGCCTGAAAAAATCAGTATATGTATGCTTTTCTCTGGAAAAAAGTCTTTTTTTGAATTTCTTTACTATCATTTACAACTGGATAGGGGTATACACCAATGTCTGTATGTATCTGTACTTGGTGTTGTAGAATGAGTTAGCCATTATATACAGATGTCTCATATTCAGGATGTAGGGAAATGAAAATAGCCAGTTATGAAATTTAATGTCCACCTTCAGTAGAGCTGAGACACATGGGTGCAGAGCGTTGAAAACTTGCACCTAAGTTCTGCCCTGCCCTATTTGTAGGCTTTAAGTTCGGGTCGTCCACATCATAGTGAAGCATGTTACCAACTAAGCAATGGACGTTGACTTTGAGCTCCAAGTATGAAACGAATCGTAACTGCAGTTCAGACTGTCATTCTACAATTAATAATTAAGAGCAAAATATTTCTGTTAGGCGGACAAAAATGGTTAAATCTTTCAGTTTTATGAAATAAAAGCTAATAAAATATATAGTATTCATTCGTAAAATGCGCGCTGAAACTTTTGTAGATTTTGCGACCATGAAGAAGACTTTCACAAAACTAAGTTACCAAGTAACCGAGCAAGGTTTGATTTCAGGCTTTGAATTTGTTAACAGAATCACACAAGGGTCACTCAAGTTGCACCACCAAAACAGAGGCTGGCTGGAGTACATGGAGAAGAGTATGACTTTAACCAGAGGGAGGTCAAGGAAAGTCTTGGGAATATGGATGGTTGGCTCGATGTTCTTACTGATGAAGAAGTAAGCCTTGAAGTTCACTATTATCTATTAATGTTTGATTGTAAATTAGTTTGATTGTAAGAAGTGAGATATAGTTTAAAGTTGACTATAAATGTTAGATAGTAAGAAGTCAGGAAGAATGTAGTTTAAAGTTCACTATTAATGTTTGATTGTAAGAAACGATCGGTTTTAAGCACAAGGGGGCTATCCCGTAAAATGTTGTGAGAAAATCAAAGGTAAAGTTTTTCGACCCTTGTTCAGTTTTTTTAAAAGACAGGGAGTTTTCACTTTAACCAAACAAATATACACACCAGTGAAACCAAACTTCCCTCTAGGTAGGGCAATGCCCACTTTTGGTTACAGTCGAGATTTCTGGGTCCCCCCAAAATTTGGGTTAGCCTGCTTGTCCTTAAAAGCGACCTAATAATTTAGGCAGAATATAGTTTAAAGTTCAATATTATTGTTAAAATAAATGTTTTACACCCTCATCAACACAATTTAGATGAACAAGGAATTTGAGCCTGTCTGCCAGACAAGAAAAGTTTCGGAAGCAATCTGCATGAAACTTATCAAAGGTTTACACAGAAGCTTTTTCTTCTTTGGGAATGATGTGGGGATAAGCCTTTGTACATTAACATGGAAATTGAACGAAACTGACCGCATGGAGACAATGATTTAAACTTCATTCCTTATTTTTTCTTTCATGGTGTCAAGATTTCTAAACCTCAATTTGCTTGATGATTTGCATCAAGTTCACATGAATCATTGACCTTGTTGAGTAATGTTTTGTGAAGTTTATTTGTGAGGCAGCGTGGTGGAATCAGGCTCTCGTCAATTTTTGGGCATGTTGAGTTATTGGTATCATCTTAAAGCTTGTTCACCTGTCTTTATTTGGATGAAAAAAATATCCATTTATCTTGAATACAAGTCGAGATATTTGCCATTGAAGGAGGTGGCGGTCACCTGTTTTTAGAGGTAAAATTAGAGAGAAAATGGCCGCAAAAGATTAGTTTATTTCCCTAGCTTAAGAGTCTGTGATAACTGAAAATTTACGTTTTTGTGCCTTTAATCAACGTTTTTCAGAAAAATCCACATAGAAATGAGTTCTTTAATGGGCATGAAAGGTGTTGAGCCGAAAAACAAAAATTTAATAAAAATTCACAAACTGCGGAAAAATGCAGGTTTCTTCTCTTTTATTATTTTGACGAGAGCCTGATTCCACCACGCTGCCTCCCATTTTATAATGATTTTTTTCGGATGATCTCACTATCAATTAATTATTATAATGTCAGTCAAAAACTTTTTGTTTGTGTGTGAATGTTCGAGAATGCTTTTCACTTTTTCTAAACAGGTATACCTATTTATGGATTCTAAAAAAGAGGAAGATGGTCATTATTTGCTGTGGTATTGGGAGAGGAAAAGGCGCCCTGCCATTTGCGTGACGTAAGTGAAACACTTTACTGAACTTATGCAAGGCTGGAGAATTTATTTTTGTATTGCAGTCTGGTTTTTTTCTTTTTTGATATTGTCATATATATATATATATATATATATCCTAACCACTTGTCACTAAAAAGCAGTTTTCTCATACAGGTTGCTCTATTGAATTCTATTAGTCCAATAAGTATTTTGGTGTACATATGAATACTTACAATTTTCTTTTGCCTGAGATTTCATTGGACTCACTTCTTTATTAATTTAATAATGTTTATTATAGAATACATTGCCAACTTTGTTCGGGTAGGAAATTATGTGTCATTACTTGTAGGGCTGTATGTCTACTTTATATGAAGCAGATTCATTTTTATGTTGGAGAAAATGTTTTTTTCCCTTTTTCATTAAAAACTTATATTATATTATTATATATATATATATTATTTGTTTCAGGTGTAAAATGAAGTTGAAAGTTTTCACCATCCACAAGAAACCCATGAAGAACAACAAGACCCAAGTGGACTTTTATTTTATTTACAAAAGGCAGAGGAGAGAGAAAACTCTTGAGGAGATTGTCAAGTATCACATTCAAAATGGTGTGCAGCAAGACGCGAGCACATCAGGAGTGTCACCAATAGTGAAGTTTTCACACCCTGTTGTGGTGGCACAGACTGAATTAATGTATGAATAACATAATGAGTACCCTGACATTTCTGTAACCCCTGAAAGTTTGTGCCAAACTGTAAAAATACGGTTGTCCCCCCCCCCCCCCCCCCCCGAAAAAAAAAACAACAGCAAAAGAACCCCAAATATATTTTTTAAAAATAAAATAAAATAAAGATAAATAAATGATTCTATAGATATTTTTCAAAATTTAATATGTAAAAACTAATATTAAATTAAAAAAAAAAATCAATAAAAACAAATCTTCAGCTGTGTGCCATAGTGAAGGAAAATACCCTCTCGGTAATGAAAAGATGGTACAAGGCTAAGACTTTTTAGACAAATGTTTGCCAGAATGTCAAAGGGAGTGTTGTGAGTGCTATCTTAAGCCGCTGATCTGCTTGAGAATCTTATAGGAAGGAAGAAAAAAGAAAGATGCACTGAACAGGAACTGCAGCAGAGTAGCTGAAGTAGGAGCCCTAAAGGAATATCCTTAAGCCTTGTAAAATGTGAAGAGAGCCTACAGGAGAATTAGCCGAAGGTTAGGCTAGCAGACTCGTAATCTTGAGGCTGCGAGTTCAGAGGTTCGAGCCTCAGGCCCGACATTGTGTCCTTGGGAAAGGCACTTTACATAAAATGTTGCATGTTGTGCTGAGCAGCTTACTGGCTGTATCTTAATTCTTAATGTTTGATAGTGGGTTGTTCGCTTTTGTTTTTTTATTGAGGGGGTGGAGATTTTTTTGTTTTAAGTGCAACTCCATGCGAGAGAAAGAGTAGCTCATTAGGAGGGCAGAGCTAATGTTTTATTTTTACTGGACTGCAAGCTGAAATGACAGTTTCCTGAAGGAAGGAAGAAAATTCAAATTCTCGACCTTACATTTAATGCCTTCCAGCCTCTTTTTTTAAAGGCGTTTTTACCACCCTATCAACACAATTTAGGAGTAGGAAGAAAGTTTCTGACTCTGCCTGTCAGGGCCAAACCAGGCTGAGAGGAACACAACATCCCAGTAGAAAGACTGAGATACCCGATAAAAATGTTCTCCTCACACGGGAATTGAACTCGGTGTCTCCTTTGTGCGACAGCGGAGCGCCTTACCTCTCCACCACAGACGTCAGTTTCCAGCCTGTGCTTGTGTATCAAGGAAGTGGTGGGCCTTATACGTGCTATTCTTTGAGTGTATAATTGACAGTGTAAATAGAAGTTTTGTTGGAAGTGCTTTTAGTATTCGCATCCAGTCTGTGATAAATTGTGGTCCTGAGTGAGGATCAGAGATTTCAAACCTTTTGTTGACCTTAACAGAGTGCTCTGTGTAAATCCCCCCTTTGTGACCTATATGACATATGTGTCATGACTCTGTGAAATCAGGCGCTCGTCAAAACAATGAAATCAGAGAAACCAGCATTTTTTCTGGTTGTTGGGCAATTTTTTTCTAATTTTGTTATTTTGGCTCAACACATTTTATATCCATTTAAAAACACATTTCCATATGGATTTTACTGAAAAACATTGATTAAAAGGCACAAAAAATATAATTTTCCAGTTTTCAAGGACTCTCAAGCTAAGGAAATAACACAACTTTGGCGGCCATTTTCTCGCTAATTTTACCTCTGAAACCAGGTTACCCACACCTCCTTCAACCGCAAATACCATGACTTGTACAAAAGATAACTGGATATATTTTGCATCTAAAGCAAGGCAAATGGACAGGCTTTAAGATGGTTTCAATAACTCCATATGCCTCAAAATTGACGAGTGCCTGATTCCACCACGTTGTGACCGATATGTCATTTGTCATTTTTCTTCTTAAACTGCAAAGGAAGCAAGTGGCTGTTGTGACGTACGGCATTTGTCAGGCTTTGCGAAGCATGAGGACCATAATGACGAATGCCGTTCGTGATAGTTTGTATTGGCAGACTGCTTCTATTACTATTATAATGTGCATTTCTTAAAACGAATTGCAGCAGATTCAAAGTCAGGGATATTTTTTTCCAAACAGAGAAATCTTTAGTTAGTTAGATAGTCAATAATGCTATTCACAAACCAGGTCTAATTATAGGCAACGGACCGCTTAATCTAGCTCTACTCTTTGTCCCTGGGCATCCAAAAGTGTGTTCCATGGAACACAATAACTGACCCTGTGTCATGCGGTTGACCCTGTGTCATGAAAGGGTTAATAAACAATTAAATAACCCTGTGTCACGAAGTAGTTAGCACTTTGCTGTCACATCTCGCCGATCGGCGATGTTTACAACCCAGTTTCCTTGGATTTTCTCCAAAATGCTTTTGCCTTTGATAGCAAGGGTTTTTACTATATGAACCTTGTGATGTCAAAGTGTTAATGAACAGTCAAATGACCCTGTGCCACGAAGGGCTTAATATTATATACAATCAAACCTTAGACGCAAGCTTGGCGGTGTGCTATCATGAGTGAACATGTTCATGTTAATGCTATTGTTTCTGTTGATAAACTAGTCCATTTTAATTCCCTGATAACCACATACACAGCAGAGTCATTTTCCTTGACGTTGACAGTCGGGGCTATGCTTTAACGTATTCTCATATTATATACACAAGTCTTCCACTTTATTAATGATTGATAAATTTGTATATATTATTATTATTATATATATGTGTACAGTCAGACCTCATTATATCACCAGCCCTGCTAACCGCCAGGTTTTAAGTTTAACCAATGTATGAAAATGAACATCTCTCTCTCTCTCTCTCTCTCTCTCTCTCTCTCTCTCTCTCTCTCTCTCTCTCTCTCTCTCTCTCTCTCTCTCTCTCTCTCTCTCAACATTTACACTTGAATCACCTACAAAAATCTCTTTTCAAATACAGATCACCACATACACAGCAGAGTCATTTTCCTTGACGTTGACAGCCGGGGCTATTTAACAGACATTCCCCAGTATAACATCAGCCTCGCTATTCTACACTTCTTGCTTGTACATGTAACTGCACCACGGCTGGTGGTATAACAAGGTCTGACTGTTTGGCTGTATACCTGGCCCCCCAGGAAATCGCGGTCTTGCGGACGCGTTTTTCGTCGAGTTCCGCTATAAACCCGCAATTCTTTAAAATTTTCGCAATTTCTTGCTATTTTAGGAAAAAATACATCTACAGAATTTTTAATACGCAATGGTGCGAGTACGGAGTCGATGCGTAAATCGTGAGGTTGGCCCAGCTCTAGCCTAACGTAGGCTACTCAAAAAGCTATAACCGGAAATTCAGGCCGGAATACGAACACGACTCGACAAAGAAACGGCAAGTGCCACAAACTGAGACTCTGAGACATAGATCTAATGTGTGTAAGCGTGCGCGTGTAAGCAAGTAGATCTTGGTGAGTGCGTGTGTGTGGTGTGCATGTGGGTGTGCGTGTAAAGTGTGAGTGTGTGTGTGTGTGTGTGTGTGTGTGTGTGTGTGTGTTTGTGTGTGTGTGTGTGTGTGCACGCGTGAATATTGTTCGTACCTGATGCATAAGTATGTAAAGCGCCTTAAGCTGTGTTCACATGGGAGTGGGCGCTATAGAAATGATCTACATTTTTATTATTGTTTATGGAAAAAAATGTTTTTTTGCTGTATTTTACAATTCAACTTAGTGTTAAAACTATACCATGCATTTTTAAAAACAGAAAATATCTGAAATAGATCTAAATATAGATTACAGGTGTATCGAAGGTTTCATGAGAAAAATGGAACAGGATCTGAATTGATTGGAGCATAAGCTTATTTTGTATTTTTAGAGGTTGTTTCGTAAATCTCACGTCAACATTTTGTTTTTTGACTAAATCTCATGAAACTTCATGCACTTCTAGATCTTTCCTTGAACCAAGTACCCGGTCGGTATGTTCTAAATTTGGTCAAATTTTATGCATTTATTAAAAAATTATTATGAAAATCAAGGCCTCCATTTTTTTGTGTCACACGGAATCATATTATTTGGTCGATAACTTATTATTAACTTACTCGTGTGTCGTTACTGGTAAATGTTGTAAAATTTGTATTGTGCATCATGATTTGTTAAAAGACTGTTCTGCTTTTATGTTACTCAAATTGTCATGTTTTTTAAACTGAAAATTTTAAGCTCATTTTAATGCGCCTGGGATGGGAAGGTTGTATTTTTTTTGCAATTTTTAGGCAGTTTACCTTACAATTTTTCTATTTTAAAAATGCAATTTTCTGCGGGGCCAGGTATACCATTGTCACTGTTTGTAAACCTGTGCATATTAATATTATATATTGGTGCCACTGTCACTACTGGTAAACTTGCACAAATGATGTCATTATCTCAATAAGTTATCATGTACATTTTCTTGTCAAAGACATGTTTTGTTAAATTATTCACTGATTCACATTGAAACTTGTACCACAGGGTATAAACTAGTTTATGTTGATACTAACTACAATACTTAAGATAAACTTTGTTCCTCCGAATAGTCCAAACACATACTTTTGGATAATCATTTCAAATGATGATGATGATGATGATAATAATAATATCACTGGGTATAAACTAGTTAACGTTGATACTAACATTTCTCAAGACAGACGTTTTTAAAGCTGTTTGTATTATCTTTTCCAAACACATACTTTTGGATAATAAAAATAATAGTAATAAGTATAAAACAATAATAATGTGAAATTTTGTACGGATTTTCGCGCCTTCTCCATGGAAGGCTTTAAGCACTGAACAATGCAGGATCAAATTCAATGTAACCGACAAATTAACATACTTAAAATGCACATTGTGAGACCTTAACAACACACACAAACACACATGCACACACACACACACACACACACACACATGTACTGGCAGAGGACAGTCTTGAATAAATGTTTGTCTTAAGACTTTTCTTTAATTCTGTCTGATGAAATAAAACGCATTTCTTTTGGAAGTTCCTTACAAATTTTAATCTTAGGGGCATGGCCAACCCATTTGACCTTACTGTTTGCACTCATAAAATTCTCATCTGCATATACCTCAAATGTCTTGATAGTGTGTATGATTCAATAAGGTTTTTAAGATCAGTATACATTGGTACTTTTTTGTCCATGCACTTGTGAAATAAGAGATCATTTTTGTGATCAATTCTAGCTTTAACTTGTAGCCAATGCTTTTGCTTTTTATCAATTTATTTTAAAGGTGTTATGTTTTTTTTGTGTGTGTTGTTTTTGGGGACATTTTGTTCTTATGTTTATGGTCATCAGCTGCCCAGATCAAGTTTCTTTTTGTTTGTTTGCTTGATTTCTCTTGTATCGTTGTTTTGTAAATGACAAGGGGTGTTTGAGTCTGTTTCGCAGCTTTTCTTTCTTGTGATAGAGATAACAGTTTTGAAGGAAATTAAATGGAAAGGTGAAACTGGAATGTTTTGCTTTAGCCTATGAGTGTTGTTGTTGGTTTACTGTACAACATAAGAATTCATTTTCTTAAGTGTCGTGGGTTAGCATCTCAGACACTGTCCGTGGGTGGTTGGCGGGTGCTCTGGTGTCGTTTGCTTCTTCTTTCCTATCAAACATCTCCCCTTCTTCTTTTTTATGTTTGTTACTCTCTTGTAACACCTCTAATCTTTTGGCGCTCATATGACCTTATGCAGTTGCGAGCGCTGTAAAACCTCTACTAAAACTAAAAAGACACTGTCCTTTGCGGTCATCTGTGTTTCCACTTTTCTTTCTCTATGATCTTGAGTGACTGTTACTGTTATGGAATACCCTCCAATATTACTTTAAATTTCCGGGTTTCCCAGGAAAAAACCACATGTATAGGAGACAAGTTGTGAGGTAGAATTTGATTGCACAATGAGGAATGCTTGTAACCTGCCATGCCTGGCAGGCGGACAGTATGAGAAGGCTGTGCTGTTCTCATGTAATTAAGATGGTCTTTGTCTGTGATTGCTCGGCTTAGGATAGGAAAATTTCACTCTTCAGGCGAGCTCAGCTCAATGACACATTCCACCACAGGAGATAGATCAGATGCTGGGTGGTTCAAATAAAAAAAATGAAAGTCGACCAGAGCTGCTGTGACCAAACTAAGAATCATTTGGAATGACGAGATCACCATCCTCAGCTTCAAGATCATATTGCATATATTGATACACTCCCTGGTCATATCCTTTCTAAAATAAATACATTATATTATAAATCATGTGCATGTGAGATGTGAACCATAACAACAGACACAGAAAGAAGAATACAAGTACTGGAGATGAGACGTTACCGCTAAATCCTCGGTCTCTTAGAGAGATTGTATAACTAGGTACCACAAGCGTGCGCTTCTGGTTGGTAGAAAATCTCCGTCTTGGGGGAAAAAAGTTGTCAACGACCGTTTCTTTCTCTCCTCATTTCTCCGCCCAGAAAGATTCTTTCTGTTTTGTCCAAGTTTTACCAAGTAGACTCAAATTAATAATAATAATAAATAATAAATGACATTTATATAGCGCTCAACCCCGAATAAAGTACACAGGCTCTGAGCGCTTTACAATACAGTACAACATACAACAGTAACATGAAACGTTGTGTTCTGACTAAAGAAAATTATTCCAAATATTCATCTTATTAATTTAAAAACAGAAACGACTTCAGCTGACATTTGAATGAATCAAAAGATTTGATTTCTCTCAACGTACTTGGTAAAGCATTCCAGATCTTGGGGCCTTGGTATTCAAATGCCCTTTCACCCATTGTTTTAAGTTTCATAGATGGTAAAATAAATTAAGGTGGTAAAAATTTGATTTCCGATATATTCCAAATTTTCGCTTGTGGTAGGCCTACCTAGTATAGCCAATGAGGTAGTGAGAACCAGAATTGGAAACGTCATCGACTTCAGTGAAAAGATGCAAACTGAAGTGGTACAGGCACATCATATGTTCGTCTGGACTGGCCAAGACGATCCGACGGGGAACAACACAAGGAGGGAGATGAAGAGGCAGACAGAGAAAATAATGGGAAAACAACATCTAAGAATGGACTGGCTGTGACTGCAACATTTTGCGATAGAAAAACTGAGAACCGAGAGGAGTGGAAGAAGCTGGTTGCAAAATCTGCTGTTGGGCCCAAATGTTCAGCCAGGATACGTGAAGGTAAATGGTGACACTACAATTACGGAGCGAGCAATCACTTAAAATCCTCTTTGAACAAAGAGTCTTTAGTTTTAGTAGAGGTTTTACAGCGTTCGCAACTGCATAAGGTCATATGAGCGCCAGAAGATTAGAGGTGTCAGTGTTACAAGAGAGTAACAAACATAAAAAAGAAGAAGGGGAGATCTAAGAACGATAGATGTTTGATAGGACAGAAGAAGCAAACCACACCAGAGCACCTGCCAACCACCCACACAAAGAGTCTGCAGTGTCATCAGACTTATATGTGTAGACAAAGACAAACAGATTCAGAAACATTCAGCCATGTTTTCAGGAACTGGAAGCATTCATTTATTTTTCTGTTCAGAGTACAGTTCGCTGAGTGGGTATTCACACAGTACACCACAGAGTCACTCACATATCCAATGAACAAAGCCAAAGCAGTAACTCCTCATACTGATATATACATATATGGGTATTTTACAGTCATAGTCAATCTGCACAAAATACGAGTCAGTAAAAATAATATGTGTAACAAGAAATCACTGCTCATGTCTGTTCACATGTCAAACTGTCATTCATTTCATTAACAAATTCTTCGAAACAAAGTTATTCAACAGAACTGACTCCACCAATGTCAATTACAATTTTCAATTTGTTTTACAAATGATTGTCCTCAAGACAAAGACATGAAAGACCTTAGCTATGATACTTTAAAAAACAAACATGGGGAAAGAGATTCTCATGTGATGTCCAAAAATACTCTAAAAGCTTTCCAAACAAGAGATAAGATGATACAAGAAGCAAAAGAAAGGTGAGCTCTCTAAAGCCAGTCTATACAAGTTATTACCGGGCCTCTAATTTATTGTTCATAATATTAAATATACAGTCGGGGCACGAAAAACTCAAAATGACAGATAGCTTGTACCATTTGCCATTCCAGGAATGATATATGATATCTCTTTAATTTTTTGGGGGTATATTAGTTTACCACAATTATGGACGAGTCAAACACATTCGTCAATTGCTGTTGTGTTTGAGTTTGAGTTATCCGAGCCTGACTAATGTTGTAAGGATCAAAGGTTTACTAGAGAGCTCTGTTGGATAGGACTTTGTACATTACCGGTGCCCCTTTTCCCTCTTCTTTGCAAACAGTAGAGACAGAATAGGGTGAAAGAAAGCGATGCACTTTTCAGGTGACATTCTTGTAAGTCCCTTGCATACTATAACTATTATAATCATAATCTATGATTAAAATAGCCCTGAAAAATGGGGATTTGTGAAGCCGCAGTAAATGACATACGGACAGGGACAGAGATTTATCAACAATGCATTTTTTTTTTTATTCAACTGGAAGAATTTCTGTACTTCTCCCTCAAATGTTGAAGTTTGATAGAGCAGCTGTTACCATCACATCTGTCCAGGGCTTTGTTCAGTCGGTATTCAGCAAAATGGACATACAGTCTGTCACATACACTTCTAATACCGGGAAGTTCTGTGGCTTTTGCAACCCAGCCGAGACCACAAGCTCGGTACATCTGACGTATAGCATCTCCCTGGGTTAACACCTATGGATCATACAAATTGACAGAGTCTCAGTATTTGGAAAGGTAGCTCTGAAAATGAAATTGAAAAGGCATGCCAGAAATATTTAATTTTTGTTCTTCGCATTCATACATATCAGGAAACTAGGCGAGTGACCAGTGTGTGTCTACGACTAAAAACTCAACAACATAGCACAGCCAAGGAAAGCCAGGTACATAAATTCAAATTCAAATTTTTGACAACTTCAAAAGGATCTTGGTTGGTGGCCAGTGGCGAAGCGTCCATATAATCAAATCAAATAATCACCGCTTCCCTTCCTCATTTTGAAACATTGTCGCAGTCAAATCCACCCATAGATGTAAACCTCATAAATTAAATGTAAAAAGACGTTCATAATCACCAATGAACAATAGACTATGCCTAACCTTCAAAACCGTTTCATTGCCACAGAAATAGCCTGTTCGCCCCTATCGGGCCACTCCATAAGCAGTCACAACCTTTGATTAAGTAAGCTTAAAGTGAGGCTGGAAGAGTCTACCAATAGAGTTGAAGGGAACATGTGCATAGCAGCCAAAACTGTTTCATTGCCACATATACCCTGTTCACCCCTTTCGAGCCACAGTTATAAGCACCCACACACGCTGATTATGTAAGCTAACTATTACACTGGTCCAGTCTACCTCACAGATGTGAGGGGAACTAACTCCTAATAATATCTTGACTGCCTCGAGTGCTTGTTTTTTTTCCTCGACTTTTCAACGTCCTATAATCAGATCGTGACCTCAATTATGACACCGGCTCCAGGCCACGAAAAGATAGACAAAAAACAGCCAAATGTGAAATAAAAAGTTAATAATTGGTATGCTCTACCAAAGTGTTTAGACTGTCTGGTATAACCTGCCATTGTAGTACTGACATCTCTGCTTCTTTCCTTGGTGTTTGAGTATTCAAATCTAAAGTAAAATTCAAGGTTAGTTAGAATAAATATTTAATGAAATACTTTCCCGATTATTTTAGCGGTTGAACATGCATACAACATGAATTCAGGATTTGTTTTCATTCACAACTCAGAGTTGCCGCCTCCAGAAAGATTCTTGTGACTTGTGTGAGTGTGATATCTCCAGGCCCTATCAGGTCCCATCTCACTTTGATTACCCTGTCAAACAAGTCAGCCTTCGCCCCTGTTGGTGGCTACAATGCAAGAAATCTTGTTTAGCACCCCTTTCCACATAGACCTGTTTAAGGGCTGTTTGCATTTTTGTAGATCACTTTGACTAACCTTATGATATTTTATTTGCCTTATTTTATTGGTTCTAAGCAACCATACATGAATTTTACTGACATTTGGCAATAATCATCTCGTCACAACCCCTCTGTAAGTGCCTGTAATGTGGTGGTAAGGTGCTTCACTGTTGCACGAAGGGATCTTGCGTTTGATTTGATCCAAAGTAGGGTGAAAACTTTCATCGAGTATCTCAGTCTCTCTGCTGGGATGCTGCATCCCTCTAAGCCTGGGTTGGCCCTAACTAGCAAGGTGGGAAGCCTATCTCTTAAATGATCTAAATTGCTTCAATGGATGCATAAAGACACCTGCATATGTTTACATTTTTTACAACACTCCTCCTCCACAACCCTTCCCCTCCCCCACCGCCTTCATCCTTTTGTGTTAAAATGCCCTATTAAAACTTCTTTCATGTTACCAGTCTAAGCAGGGGCAGTTTGTTAACTGGGCAAGACCGGAGGTGCCGGTCAAAGTTTTGTCAGCTGGACTGTTGACAAGAGATTATTGCTGATGATGATTTTCATTCAGTTTTAAGTAAATCCGAATAAACATGTATCAATATTCAAAAGCACCTTGCCGATTTGAAGGCGTTCAAATAGACAAGTGGGATTCACTACTGTTTTGTCGCTACAGAGCCTCATTCCGCCACCTTTGTTTATCACACCGGCTCATAACTTTAAATCGTCTCCCGTCAAACCGTCACGTCGCGGAACTTCGTACGAGGACAAACGAACACGGCGGATGGACAAATCCATCTACTGCCCTGAGACTACAAAGAAGGAATATAAACATCCCTAGATTGCCAAGTTGGCCTCCGTGTTGCTTACAAAATCGGTAATGAGACTGTCTTGAGTCTTGAGTAGCACAGACAAATGAAATATTTCATCAGCAATACATGTACTTATCATTCAGCCTTTCTCTAACTATCATCAAAACATTTATTGTCAGCATGGCACTAATCTTTTTTGTTTATTGAATTTTAAGCCACCTTTGGTTCCTGTTTGGTGACTATTCATCGCTTTCTCCCCACTAATAACGTACCTGGCCCATATGAGTCTAGTCGGCGAAGAGAGGAATCGTCTAGTGAAGATATATAAGGAGAATTATAACGAGGAGCGATAGGCTCTCGGCTGTCTGTCTGGGCCGAAAACAAAGGGCCGACCCCCTCCATTCTCTCCCCTTATCCACCGTCACCTCAGCTAGACACCAAGTTCTATAATTAGCATTTGACACACTTCCCCACTTTGTTACAACAGGGTTCTTAGAACTGAGAAGTGTGATGAAGAACGTTTGATTGCATAATGATGGAAAACTGTTGTGTGCTAACTTTGTCCAGCTTTTTATAGTATCTGATCGTAGACTTAATCTGCATGGGACAGCGTCATTGGTACAGTATCAATTGACTTTGTGCCATCATACAGTACTGTTTTTATTACATATTTACAGGTCGAGTGCACGTCAATATTGTGTATGGGTGTGTAGAAAGTAAAAGTATCGGAGGCCATGACCAGCAGTTTATTGTGCTTCTCACTTTCAGCTTGTTTTCTAGCATAGACTCTAGTAGTGTTTCTTTTCCTATGCTGTTCAAGTCAGTTTCTATTAACTCAGTAACTTCCATCATACTTTAATCATAATATTGTTTCTTGACACTACCATATTTCAGCTCTTTCACATTATATTAAAATGTTTACAGTGGTGTGTGTGTGGGTCAGGTGTATTTGTGGAGGGTTGGGGGATGGCCGAAATGGTAGAAGCGATTATTAATGTCCTCCCCATTATATCATAGAGGCCACTATGGGCCTGATCTAACTGCTCCCTTTTTAGCCCGAGAGGTGTGACAGGATCTTGGTCTAATTCTTGCCCGACCCAGAGACGCAGAGTCCCATGGGGAGGGGGTTGTGTGTGTGTGTGTGTGTGTGTGTGTGTGTTGTGAAGGAAGGGGGTGGGGGGGGGGGAAGAAAGCGTCTATGTGAATGATGGCCGGTCAGTTCTATAAACCACGAACCGCCACTGAGTCTAAGGCTCTCTAGGCCAAAGCCTACTCTTATAGATTTTGGACCTCAAAGGGATCTTTAATGTGCGCAACTTGCACACAGGACCTCTGAGATTTTTCGCCTTTATCAGAGAAGGCTAGGTGTTGACCTTACCTACCATAAGATCAGGGGTGTGGCTGAAAGACAGCAATAAGAAGCCAAGGAGTAGCTGTAGAAAGGCTACAGAAAGAATCAGGAGCGCAGAGGAGGGGGCAGAAAGTGGAAATGAAAGCAAATGACAGAACATTGTTAGTGAGCAGGTAAAGATGGATGTGAAAGGAGAACATTTTAGAGAGGAAAATCAAGATTCGAACTTGGGACCTATTGAATGAGAGGCTAATACTCTAACTTCTAGAACAAGAGAGCCCCCATGGCGGAGTCTTATTCTGGGCAGTTGTTATGTGTAACTTTTCGTTACCTGTCCGTCAGGAGCAATGACATGCATTTCCTTCATTGCACGTTCATAAGTGACCCCGCCATTCCCTTGGGGATCATATTCTGGTTGGGTGATGTCTGTAAACAGGACAGCGCCTTTGCCATTTGAGAAACGCTTCAGAGCAGAGATTTCAATTTCACAAAGCCTGCACTCGCCATCATAGAGAACCTGTGAAAATTATAAATGAATCAAGGCAAAAATGTACAAAGAACAGAAAATGAATATATTATTATGTTAGTGCAGATATAGAATCTAGGTATTCTGAGCCCGTTGTTGAAGGGTGCTCTGGTGTGGTTTGCTCTTTCTTCCCTATCAAACATGTAACAGTCTTACCTCTTCTCCTTCTTTTTCAAATGTTTGTTGTACTGCTTCTAATCTTAGACATTTGTATGACCTATGTGTGTCACAAATGCTCTTACTAAAATAAGGGTATTCTGGGTACTTTCTGGAAAAAAGGATTGGCTGTTTTTGCTGTTGTTTTTTCTAAAAGACTGCCTCTATTTGATGAAGCACAAGTATTATTATACTTATCATAAACCCAGTGACAGATAAAATATATGTTACTCCCTGGTATATCATTCTGATATTCCACAACATTACATCCATTTCTGGACCATGTTAGCTGTCTACAGACAGTTAAAATTGTCTCAGATGGCCCCTTAATGTTGAGGAGACAAGTGGCTGTCTTAGACGGGTGGACATCTTACACAGTTTCACGATGAAGTAAAAAAAAAACCAACAACACGAGCGTGGGGGTGGGAAGGTTGTGTTAAAAGAGAACAGGTTTAAATGTATTACATCGCTATTTCATCAGTATTGAGAGAAATTACAATTGCAATCTTATCATAATTCAGAGTAGTATTTCTAACAATAGGCTCTTCGATCACTGTTGTAGGCAAAAGATATGAGTTCAAGACCTGCAATGGAAAGTCTGTTTTTATTTGGTGAATGTATTTCATTGGATTTTTGAATGCTGAAGGGCCCATCCCACTCATCCCTGGCTGGCCATAACAAGCAAGGTCAAAGCAATTTTTTCTTCTCCTTCACGGCATAAACTGGGCCTACAGGGTTGTATACAAAAGATATTCAATTACAACACTTCATAACCATTGTCTAATCCAAAGCATTTTATCTCTTAACCTTCAGAGTTGGAGGAAAATGCAAATTCACAACTTGTAGAACATTACAGTATA